AAATAATGATGAAATAATTATTTTATCAAACGATCGTTTTTTGTTTTTGTTGAATATATTAACTTTATTGCAGTATATATTTCTTTAAATATAATTAATTGTACTTGTGAAAAAATATTTATTTTTGTAAGTACTCATTATTTTTATAACTTATACTTTAAAGACCTCTGTGAATCTGGCACCCGACTTTTAAAAAATTAACTTTTTTATATGAAAACAGTTAGTATTTTGTTTGTAGTAACAATAATTTCGTTTGTAGTTCAATCCATTAAAAGATATCAAAATTTAAAAAATGATTTGCACTCGATATTAAGATATTTTAAATCCGCTTGCACAGTCTTTTTTACAATCGTTTGTAGTTGTTTGTAGTGCTTTTCATTTCATTTGTAGTCAAATTGTTCAAAAGTTATGACAATTTAAACAAATGGCCAAGGGTGAACTCTGTCATTTTTTAAGTATAGGGCAAATTTGTTTGCGCAGTCTTTTTTTAGAATCGTTTGTAGTTGTTTGTAGTTGCTTTTCGTTTCATCTGTAGTCGATCGTGCGCTATCACTAAAAAGAGATAAAGTTCACTCTTGGTCATTTGTTTAAAATGTTATAACTTTTGAACGGTTTGACTACAAACAAAACGAAAAGCACTACAAACAATTACAAACAATTCTGAAAAAGACTGCGCAAGCGGATTTAAAATATCTTAATGTTGGGTGCAAGTCATTTTTTTAAATTTTGATATCTTTTAATGGATTGAACTACAAACAAAATTATTGTTACTACAAATAACTACAAACAATATACTAATTGTTTCCATATAAAAAAAGTTAATTTTTTACGAAAATCGGGTGCTAAGGTTCACAGAGAAATTTTAAAGATATGGATTTAACAATATTTATTAAAATTTATTAAAATTATTAAAATATTAGTCTTAAAATTAAAAGATTTGGACTCAGTAGTTTAAAAAGTCATTTAATATATATTTTAATAACTATTACACTGTAATATGTTAAACCCTAATTTGATTCAAGTAAATTCTTCAAAAAGTTATTTTTTAATGCTTTAGTTTACTAATCAAATTAAAAAGTTTTATATCATAAACATTATTTACTCAAGTAAAAATTTTAGTAAATATATTAATATATCTAATTTTAGTAAATATATTATCTAAAATTAAGAAAATTTTTTTCAGTGTGCGTTATATTTATACAAATAACATTTATTCAAGCTACATTTTATATAAAAAAATATGTAATTGCATTTTGAGAGATAATTGGAGAGATTTAAAGATATTATAAAATTAACTAATATTAATTAAGAATAATGTAACCATATACAGCATGTAATATTTTACTATGTGTGATCAAATATATTCACTATAGTAAACATAGAAAACATCTGTAATTTGAATTATCATCTATAGCATCTATGCATTCACTGTCTACACTGTCTTTCGTAATATTAGCTTAAAGAAACATGGTTTATATATAAAATATAATTTAAAAATATTTAGTACATAATTTAAAATAAAAAATATTAACAAAAATATTAACAAAAGAAAGAAATATATTACAATGTTATCGTTCAAATTATTCGTTTTTCTTAAAATAATAATTTTATTAATAATTTTGCTATGGTACATTAAGGATTTTTATAGAAATATATTTAAAAAAAAAAATTTAACTTTAACATCATGTTTTAGTATAGAATTATATTATATTATATTTATTGAATGTATTTAATATAAAAGTACAATAAAAAAATTCTATATAATGCATATACTTAATTTTAGTATGACTTAATTTTAATATAACATTGCAAAATTATTATTAAAAAAAACAAATAATTTGAATAATATTATTGATATTTCTTCTCTAATTATGCCATATTTTATTGATGTATTAAACAAGATTTTATTGATGTATTAAACAACATTATTTTGTGCAATAGCCTTTCACATACTTTGTACCTTTCTTTAATCTAATCCTTTTTGAAAAAGATAATTTTTTAATAATATCATTTCAAATCAAATAAAATCATCAAATAATTGGTTTCCTTCTAATAATTTTAAGTGATATAAAAATTAAGTGATATAAAAAGATATTAAAACTAAATATTAATACTTGTATCTAATTTGACACTATTCAGAACTGGCTTGCTTATTTTGTCATTTTGATGCTCGCGATTTTAAATTTATATTTATCAAATTGTCAAAAAATGTCACTAATAAACAATTGTTAATGCATTGTTTAAGAATGTGATTTTTGTAAACATGTACATAATTTTTAATATCAAATTTAAAATTACTTTTAATAATCCTGCATTGAAATTCATTTTTTCACGAAATCGCTTGCGAAATCCTATTTATTCATCATATATGTTCCTGATCGAATAAGCATTTATTTCGTTATAGGAATGATAGGAACAAGCATCTACGATGCAATCGAATGTTTCAAAAACTTGAAACATACGATGAAAGCATGAGATATTGCAATCGATAATTGCAAATGTAGATTTGAACGATGAAATAAGACAGAAAAAGAAGAAGGAAAGATACGTGCAAATGTCATCCGATGTAGAACATTAAGGAGCCGCTCTTTTCGAGGTTACGTTTTCATAATGATTGTTGCAATAAATATTACTCACCTACTGGTTTCTTGCAATATGCAATTACCCAGCTCTGTAATGTTAATCCGGAAGAAATTGCGGAAAAGAAACTGACAAAATCGGAAGGAATTTAACGACACAACGACACGATACAACCACGTACACAGATCACAAAACAGACTAAGCTAACCTACCATATCTCACCAACCTATTCTCATCCGCTACAAATACTTCGTAGAAATTACCGCTGCTGCCATCTACAATGAATAATACCGTAAATCGCAGCGGCGCTTTTGAATGATTGAATGCTTTTTAAAGTCACTAGATTGATTGAAGGTACCGCATTTCATAAGTCCCGATCTACAATAGTCATAAGTCTTAAGCCATAAGAAATGGACGAATCATAGCCGAAAAATAGGAAAATAATCGACTATGATTGGTCAATTTCTTATGGCTTAAGGCTTAATCACTTATTGTAAACCGGTACTAAGGACCTATCTAGCAAACTTGTACAGCAAGGGTGCGTTCAGAAATAACACTCAAGTTCACCCAGGTTGTTTTATCCTTGTTTAATATTTGATGAAAAACAATGAATAATACCGCAGCGGTAAACACGGATAATGATACATCCAGTGTTTCTGAATTCAGTCTAGCTGAGCATAACCATGGTGGAAGGAATATATGGTGTGTGCAGTTTGGCCAAATCACGCCCACTTTTGCTCTGAGGATAACGTCCCATGAATGCGGAACATGCGCAATACGAAATTGGCGGAACGCTCGTGATCTAATCAGTGTTACGTTCATTCCGCCGATTTCTATTCTGCAAATTTCTATTTTATCCGCAATACGCATCGGTTACTTGTGTATGTGTATGATAGTGTCGGTCCACAATAGGTGATTTAAGCTTTAAGAAGTAAGAAATTGACCAATCATAGTCGATTATTCTTTTCATATTCGATTATAATTGGTCAATTTCTTACTTCTTAAAGGTTAAATCATCTATTGTGGACCGACACATATGTTTTACGAGGGCAAGTTCGTTAAGTTGTCAAGATGAATTTTAGAAAAGAAGATGAATAGATCCAAAAATGGCAAATATTCAACAGAAATTTGTAAGAACAGAAAATATTAATAAAAACTATTAAAATTATCAGAATTTTTAATAATAAATATATTATCCCAAATTTTAATCCCAAAATTTTGATTTGTTGAAACATTCTTGCTTTCATCCATTCAGTGAGGATTGTCATCGTCTAAATATAGATGAAAATTTGGTAGTTATTGTCAGTAAGTATTATTAAAATTAAGAAAATATATCCTTTGATAAAACATGTCACTAATTATCCACTGAAAAATGATTTGTCTTATCTAACAATAGTATAAAGTAGATTGGGTTTCATGTGTTTGCTAATGTTATTGTCGCTCTATGTTATAGCATTTCTCGTAGATGAGGATGATAGATCCATTGTGCAGCAGTCAGATAACAATTTGCAAGAATTTGACTCTGATGAGTTATTGATATATTATGTATCCCAAGAAAAGCGTTATTTGATCATCGAATAGCAGTAAGCAATAGAAGCACTTTAAAAAAAATGCCCTTTGGCAAGTGTGTAACTCATTGGGAGGTTCAAATATTTTAGTCATGATTATTATGCTGATGATGATTATGCTTGTTTTATATATTCACTCATATCCCCAGATAGCCAAATATGGATATAGCATATTGAGCGAATTAATGCATTGCATATGTTGCTATATATTTGCCATATATTTGAAATAGAACATCGAAATAGGACACGTAACGAATACAACAATATCTGTTATGGATGCAATCAGTTGACGAAATTTTAAGAGCAAACCCAGATAACAAAATGCGCGCACGTCGTGCAGACTATCCGCACAGCTTGCGCTGGATAACACTCGTTTGATCACTAGCCACTCATAGGAGCCGGCGCTTAGAATTTTTCCACTGTTCAAGCGCTGTGAATGGCTAGTCAATCGGGACGTGGTCAAACGGGTATCACCCGCTTGCGCTCACGACAGATGCGTCTCATCATATGAGACTCATATTGCTCACACTCATGAGTGTCGCATGCGTGCGGATGATATGAGTTTCAAATGAGATTTCAAACATTGCTCGCATGCATGAATGGGGCCCGTTTGATCACGTTGCAATTTACCAGCCATTCATAGCGTTTGAACAGAGGAACCTCTAGGCACCGGCCGTTGTGAGTAGCTGTGATCAATCGCAACGTGATCAAACGAGACGCTCCCGCATTAGTGAACAATAAAAGCATGTGAAAAAATGTAATAAAAATGCGTAATGGTTGGAATTTTTTATGATATTTTATAAATCTGTAAATCAAATAGTTTTGCATGTAAAAAAATCTACAGTAAACTGCAAAGTGCTTCAACCTATATTGAGAACTATACATAAAGCGTGAAAATGTTAGTAATTCGTTGGAATGTAGCTATCTAAATTGAACAAAAAAAACATATTACCATGGAAGATATTTTAATAAAAAAATAATATGTAAGAATTAGACGACCGTAAGCGGTCATGAAAGAGATTCAGGATATAAACAGCTAACAGAGAGGAGCCAAATATTTGAAAAGAAACAATAAAACGTATACGTAGAAACTGAGAAAATAAACATATTGTATATATAAAATATCAATATATTTTTATCAATATATTTTTTATATAAACTCAATATATCTGCAATTTATCTGCACTTAATTTATCTGTAAAAATATATAACAAGTGTCTGACTGTAGCAATTCCATGTGTCCCTGTTAGTCTTTGGTATCGGATTCAATGGTAGATTCTGATTCGTCTCAAACTCAGCAATTACTTGTCTCATTTTCTTGCGATATCGTTGCTTTAAAAAATGCCTCCAGCATTTCTGCTTAAATTCTATCTTATTTTTAGGATCTTTAAAAAGCGAGTATTTCTGTGCTGCAACTGAAAAAAGAAAATGAACCATATAGTATCAGTTACATGAGTAAATAAATTTATAAACATGTTAAAAATCAATGAAAGATGTGTTTTATGTAATGTGTATGTATATGCGTGTGCGTGCGCGTGCGTGTATGTGAATGTGTGATTAACATAATTGTATTATATAAATGAATATAAATAATTAGTATATATTAATAATTGTAATTATAAAATATCTAACTGTATAATAAATTAGACATTTTTGTGTTGTCAAACTTCTCAGTTCCCTATTGAAGTGATTAACTAATTTGTCAGTCATTATGTGTTTTAGAGATGTATGCAAAATTCTCTCAATTTCACATCTCCCAAAGATTGTAAATAATGACACTGAAACAAAAATAAGATATATTATTAATTATATCATTTTTGAATGCTATACCCAATTAATATTCCAGTAACATATATATATACTGATACATATTAAATTGTACAATGTAATGAATTTACAAATTTACCCACCAATTTATTGCGTTCACTTATTTTGGTCTCATTCTCAAAGTAAAAAAGTTTTCCAATGATTTCAATGGAAAGCCATCGAGAGGCTCGTAAAACGTTTTAGAGATCTCGTCTGTACCCACTGACAATTTTTCTAAAATCTTTTTTATTTGCAAAATTATTGTTCTGTGTGCTTCAAGTAGGGTTTCCAGTATCCTATAAAATACAAGTATATATAATTAGATAATATAAAATATAAAATATTATTGTAGCTTTTAGACTATTAAATTTTTATAATGTAATTGCAAATTTTATTGCAAAGAATGGTATTATTTTCATTTAATGTTTATATTATATTTATATTATATTTATTTAATTAAGAAATCACTTTTTAAAAATTTGTTATTTGAACAAAATTATGTAAGATATATCACATATTGTAGATAATATCACTATAATAGTATATCATACTATCATGAGTAAGTAGTTGAAAATGTTTTTATAAAACTCATGTTACATATTTTCTCGCAACAAAGTTAGAAAAGAAATGACAATTAACTAAGAAAAATAAAATTCGTGTTTCTCCTACCCGTAAAATGTATATAGATATAAAAAAATCTCAATTACTTTACTGTTTAGCATTGAGAATAAAAACATTACCACGTCTGTTGAAGAGGTTTTATATAAATGTTGAAGAGTCCCCATAAATTCTAGAACAAAAATCTAATATGAATTATTGAACTTATAAAATTACATGTAATTTTTGTTCTAGAACATATGGAACGTCACAATACAATAAGGCAAACAATTTTTATAGTCGACAATAAATTAATTTTGAAATTTCTTTTCACACAGAAGAGTCAATTTATTCGATTAATATCCGAAATATTTCAACAAGTTACTTACTTAAATTTTTCAAGTATACGAGGATAGTCTGAAAAGTTTTGAGCCTAACATAGAAGTATTTTTTCGGTCAAATATAGTTTTATTTTTCAACATAATCTCCTTTTAAGTCGATACATTTTTCCCATCGATACTCTAACCTCTTTAACCCCTCCAAATAGTAGTTGGCGTCTTGCTCCGCAAAATAGGCGTTTTTACGTATGCGATGACCTCCTCGTTCGATGAAAATCTCTGTCCTCCAAGCGAAAACTTTAAGCTTAGGAAACAGGAAAAAGTCGCTGGGAACCAGATCTGATGAATACGCTGGGTGGTCAACCAATTCGAAGTGCAGTTCGTGAATTTTGGCCATGGCGATCGCCGAAGTGTGAGCAGGTGCGTTGTCTTGATGGAACAACATTTTCTTCTTCTTCAAATGCGACCGTTTTTTTGCAATTTCTGCCTTCAGCTTATCAAGTAATGATGCCTAATACGCTCCCGTTATTGTTTTACTTTTTCAAGATAGTCGACACATAGTACACACAATTCCGTGACTATCCCAAAAAACAGTCGCCATTACCTTCCCAGCTGATGGAACCGTATTCCTTTTTCGGAGCAGGTTCACTTTGCAGTCCACTGTTTTGACTGTTCTTTTGTCTCTGGAGTGTAGTGGTGGATCCAAGTTTCATCTACAGTTATGAATCGACGCAAAAAATCTGACTCGTTTCGCTTGAACCGCTCCAACAGGGCCTTGGAAATGTTCATTCGAATTCGTTTTTGGTCCAAAGTGAGCAAGCGCGGCACCCAACGCGCGGATGCTTGCGCATATCCAATTCTTCAGTCAATATATGACAAACGCGTTCTTTCGATATGCCCATAGCCTCTGTTATCTCTCTAACCTTGATTCGACGGTCATCTAGTATCATTTGGTGAACATTTTCGATGTTATCAGCGGTGATCGCAGTTTTTCGCCGTCCTGAACGCTCATCATCAGCCAAGCTGATATGACCACGTTTAAATTTAGTTGTCCATCTTTTTACGGTGGCAAATGATGGGGCAGAGTCCTCGTAAACAGCGTCCAACTTGATTTTAATTTGCGCAAGCGTATTGTCTTTCAAATGTAAGAATTTAATCACGGCACAATATTTAATTTTTTCCATTTTTACAAAAACACTGACATCGACTAACATAAACGATTGTCAAACAACAACTGAGCGTCCAAAATGGCTGAAATTTTCACAAAAGTCTTTCAAAGCATATACTATTGTAGTACTAGAATGATTTTGACGTCATCTAACGTCATCTTCATGTTAAAGCTCAAAACTTTTCAGACTATCCTCGTATCATGGCATTTAATACACTTGTTGTCATGCATATGCGTATGATGATCGAAGGAAGTGCCATGCTTTTCAGGCTTTCTCCTGTATTCGGCACATTCGTGCTATATATATATTTCCTTCTGACAGCATAACAGAAAAAGGTGAACTTCCACACTTTATTCTGATATAATTATTATCAAAGGAATTTCGAGACGTGAGGGAAACTGTAGATGTCTGGTTTTTATCATTAGTAATTGTTTCATTTCTATTAAATAGAAAATAACAAATAAACGTATGTAATAAAATAAAATATTATACAGGGTGTCTCACAATCACCGTACAATATTTTAATAGTGTATTCTAGAGATAAAATAGAAAAAAAATCCTTGTACGAAAATGTTGAGGCTACAATTGTTTTCGAATTATAACCGATTAAAGATAAACAGTCATATCGCGCGCTTGGGTTTGTTACACAAACTCGCGCATCGATCTGTTATCCGCAGACAGCACATAACATTGAAAAAATGTTGATGAGACGTTGTAATGTTTCATATAGATGTACGGATGTTTTTTTTAAATCTAATCTGTGTTGGTTTTTCAATATTGATTGTAAAATGTTGCTACAACATTGAATATGCATATATGTATGTACATAAATATTTATTAAAATTTTTTTCTGAAATCAAATAAAAAAGGTTGCCAATTTATTAAATTTTCATTGAAATTTTACATCAAAAACAACATGGCCTCAATAAACAGAGCGACACGGATCTTTTACCTGACAATTATCTACCTGTCCTTAACCAGTTATCCCCGATTTAACTCTTTCTTTCCTCCTCTTCCTATTGTTCCATCTCCACACACATTTTTTCTCTTTCCATTTCTCCTATTCCTTTTCTTGTCTCCTTTCTTCAATCCTGTATCGGTTTGTTTTACACGTCTTTCTGACAACAGTAATGATTACTATTTGATACAAAGTATTCGACTTTTCGCTCATGGATATTTATTCACTCATTTTTATGGACATAATGACTTTATAATTTTACAATTCAACATAATAATTTTTATTTTTTATTTATTTATTTCTTATTTAATTTAATTTTTTTATTTTTTTAATGTTTATTTCTTATTTATTTTTATTTTTATTCTTTTTATTTTCCCAACCACCGACTTTTTAGTTTTTGACTATTTGTGATTTTCTTTTTATCTGACTAATTTTAATACGGTATAATTAAATTTAATTTTTAACGGTTTGTGTGATTTAACACTTTAATTGATTTTTATATTATTTAGACACCACTAAGGAATATCTTTGGGCATTTGTCTGACCTGATCTTTATCATGTTTCTACCTGTTGAGAGCAAGTGACTGAAGACTTTTTTATTTGTCTTTTTGATTGATTTTATGTAAGTCCAATAGCAATTTTCAATAGCAATCTCATTTTAATGCAACACAAATTTGTTTTAAGATTTATATATTCTATGTTTTCCCTCAGATGTTACTTAAGATAACTTAATACAGGTCGAAATGTTTAATGTTGTTACTTCAATAAACAAAAATTTTTCAAGAGAGAAGATTCGGCTTAGTTTATATGTTATTATCTCTTATTTTTCTCATTTATATTAAATTGTGTTTTATTTTGCTATATTATCATAATTTCATATATAAATTAGTAATAATAGGCAATTTAAAATTGCATTATAAAAGTAAAATATACGTAAAATCGTGGAAGAGTAGTGGCAAAAACCTAAAATCTACGTCATATTGGTATCAATGTTCCATCAACATAGATTTAACGTTGAAACAATTTTGTGTCAATGTCCATCAGACGTAGACATTACAAGTATAAATCAACATTCGCGGACATTTTTACATTGCAATAACGTTTATGCAACATTGATTCAGTGTTGATCAACATTGATTCAACATCAGCATAGTTGCAACTCAACGTTTCTAAAACGTTGATTCAATGTTAATGTGTTGTATGGGATCTGTTATTGATTTTCACTTAATAATTTTTAGCAGCGGATTATTAATAGCATTATGAATTCTATTATTAATTTTTATTATAATAATCTAATTAATAACCTATTATAATAATCTAATTTTATATTTGAGAATCAAGATTTTTTTGCATTTTTGACAAAAAAGAGCCTGAGCGCGCGAATTCTACGCGATATTACTAATTATCTTTGATCGGTTATAATTCGAAAATTATTGTAGCAACATTTTCATAGCAACATAAAGATCCTTTTTTCTACTTTGTCTCTAGAATACACTATTGAAATATTACATGGTGGTTGTGAGACACTCTGTATATACTCAATATATAATATATTCATAAATTATTTATTGTTACTAATTTACATTTATATTACACGTAGCTTATAAAGTTTCGAATTTTTAAATTGATACTTTATATTCATATAAAGTAATGTTGAATTTGGAGCGATAAAATTGAAATTGTTATGAAGAAAAACATATTTAGTTACTTATATTAACATTTACTTACAAATTTTCGTCTATGTGTATCGGATCAGTGTTTATGTATTTCGATGTGCTTGGAAGATTTTTATTTTCCGGCGATGCATTAATAGATTTTTGCTCATCCCTTTCTTTTACGAAAAGACGTAATCAGTCCAATTCTGCTTTCATATTTCTTTCATCCTTGAATTTTTTTCTTTGTTTAACCGTATCGTCAAAGGAAGTTGTCATTATACGTTTTGGATGCGTGACTACTCTGCCACTGGTAGAAATTTATAAAATTTTCTTTTCTTTTAGTGCTTTGCTCATGTTCAAAGTTTGAATTTCGAAAATTCAATAGTGATAATGTTCAATCGTCTGCAAATATTTTTATTTCACAAAATTAATGATAATTTTTTCCTTATAAATATTGTTGCCGTTTTTGTTGTATTAGGTTTGTATGGTACAGTAAATTTTTACTATTTTAAATGTGAATATTACACCGAATGTTTATTTAGATGCTTTTATATATACATTTTAATTATTAGTAGAGCA